GTCTCATCAGAGAGCAAGGTGCATCCAAAAATTGATGTTACGTTATAGTTGTTCACACCTGCAAGTATAACAAAAGATTTCTTATATGCATTTGTTCGGTATGTGGTATCAAATGCCAAGACATCGCCGAAGCATGCATAGTTAAGTCGTGAGGATGAGTCTGCCCAGAACAAATAATTTAGTGAATTATCTTCATGGACACTGTATTTGAAGTAGAACATAGAGTCTAATTCTTTTTTTTCCACTAAAGTAGTTTAACGCCCCCTCCGCATCACTGTCTTGAAGTTGTGCTCGACGTTCTGTCGCAACATCATTGTGCAAATCTTTCATGGTAAACCCAACATTAAGATAAACTCCTACTTGTTGCACCAAAAAATCCCTTACTTGATTTGTTTGTATGCTAACACTACACAATGCTTTTGTTTGTTCTCTATCAGGACTCTTCACACGCCTATGCGATTGAAGGAATGGCACACCACGTGGTATAACCAATTGGTGATTATGTTCCGGGATGAATTCCTTTATAACCCAATGTTCAAATCCATTCTCAAACTTGACACAAAAAGATGTGTTACATCCCACCCTTGTTAAGCCTCTTGGTTCCCGGATGCAGTCACTGCGGTCAAGGTGTTTGGGTGATCAATAACCTTCTCTTGAACAAACCCACCGTCTTGATACAGGAATGTTATTTTTGTTACACTTCAAGTCATCCTTCCGAACACTAAATCCCAAAAATTTTGCGTAATTGTTATAAAACTCACCAGCTGCTTCATGTGTGGTGAACGTCATTTGCATTACCTCACCCACTGTCAACCCATCGACTCTATTTTCCTCGACACCATGATCAGAAATTGTTTGATCATTTTGTATATGATTATCGTATTCATCATCTGTTACATCACCATTAAGATCTAGTAGTACACATTTACCTTTGTCACCGAGCGTACCCTCCATTACACTACCTATGGAATTAAAACAATATGTGGACTTATAAAATGGATGATCATTTTGACACAATTTTTATACGATAATGCAGAATACCTGTTCATTGAGTCAATACAATATTGCATATATTATCTGCACTGGATTACTTCTATACTTGATTAATAAACAAACTATTGCATATATACCACAATTTTAATCCTATGCACATAATTAAAAAAAAATTGATACCTGAAATAATCGATGTATAGTTGTAGGGAGATCAATTGAGTCCAATATGCATATTTTCTACACTTCTCGTGTTGTAAAGAACATGGCTATGTTGACTTCTGTAGGAAATTTTTGGATTTAGTTTAAAGAAAATGTTAAAGAGATGATTTTGGTAGTTGGGATATGTACTTCTTAATTGAATGAAGTAATTTAATGGCAATAAAGATGCATCTGTTGGGTTGGTCGAGTCATGAAATTAGGATCTTGCATAACCAATTTTTGATTACACGGGTTGGACGCACATCGGATTAACACAACCGGGTTCAAAATTAATTTTGACTTCTTCTGGAAAATCGAGTCCATTAAAATGTAACTCCCGCCCCCCACTCCCGTTGCAAATTTCCCATTTCTTTCACTCCCCACCCTTGTGTATTTCTCGCTATCTCTCGGTTAACCCGGGTAGCTGTCTACACCACCGCCCCCTCCCAAGTTTCTCTCCTCCACCACCACGGAACCCACTCTGGCAACGTTGATCTGCCATCACCACAGGCCCACACCAATATCAAAACTACCACCCCTTTGTTCTCTCCCCCCACCACCACGCCAACCCACTCTGGAGACCCACTGACAGACCCACTTCAGAAACGACAGGATTCTTTCAGAGGTATGTCTCTCTCGCTCTATCTCTCTATAATCTGCCATCACCACATCCCCACACCATTATCATAGCCATCACCCCCCATCCTTCCCCCCACAACCACGCAAACCACACCCTTTAGATTGTGGTGTTAAATGTTGATTTTGATCAGGGCTTGTCAGGCATTTTAGGTGTGTTACAAAACACTTTAGATAATACTTGCTACTGGGTTCGCAAAAATGTTTGCAACTTGGTGGTTTGGGTTCGTTTTTCTTGAGGGAAAATGACATGTTTTTTGAGTAATTTGTCTTGGTTTGTTTATACATTAATATTTGGAAGTCAATTTGAATTTGGCATGTTGAATTTAGGTTGATTTATGGAATTTGGAGATGACTTTGGATTTTGATAAACTTTGCCATGTTTAGATTTGTTTTTAGGTTCAGTAAGTGGTCAGATTTGGTTGATGCAATACTTGGGGGTGACCAGTGGAGGATTTAAACTCAAACTTAGATGTGGTATTAAGTCATTTTATAGGGTAATGATTGAATGATTTTGGTGCTTGCTCTATTAAATTTGGAATGCAAACTCAAAAAATTGACAAATTTTATAGTAATATGAGGAGGTCAATTGCATACTATAACACTATTTTTTGTGACCTTGTTTTAGACACGAACAGATTTTTAACTATATTTTTTAATCTTAAATTTAGGTATAATAAACGCATGAACCAAAGTGTTGGCACTGAGTGGATTTGCACGCATGAACTAGAATCGTATGGTGATGTTACTAATATGCATTAGAAGTTTGTGCCTCATTTGAATTCATGAAATAATTTAAATTACATATCATAAAATTAACATTTGGTGGGATTGCTTTTGATGGGTTTGCTACAATTCGTTTCTCTGGGCATCAATGATGTATGCTTCAGCCGAACAAAATAAAGGAAAAGGAAATGAAGTTATAAAGTGTGACCAGAGATTTCTCCAACGGAAATTTCATAGTTGGAGTTATTAAACCTATTCTAAGTGATTGCTTTTATGGTGACACTGTATTCGGCAGGATTTGTGGGATTGTCTTGCTTCATATTTTAGCATTTGGAACATAGAGGAACAAACTATTGCACATAATTTGGAACATAGAGGAAAACTAGTTACCCATTATTGCATATGAATTTTTATTTTGTTCCTTCATTTGAATTACTAGTCTTGGCTTAACCTTTTTTTGTACTTTGTTTATGCAATTGTTCTTCTACTCTCTCTGGGTTAATGTTGTAGTAATAGATTTGATGGTAATGTTTTTTTTGTCTAGAATGCCGGTCATTGTAGGTATGTATGAGAAGTGTGGTGCTTTGATTGATGCACAACTGATGTTTGATAAAATGTCCCATAGAGGTTACCTTGCCATTTTAGCTATGTTTTATTTCTGCACTATGATTACCACGGGTTCAAAATATGGTTATACCATTGAAAATAAATTGTGCTGATTCAACACGTACTTAGTATCATTTGACATGAAAATATCATAAGTGATTGAGATTGTTTCATTCTATCCTCAAAATAACGCATTGTCTTTGGTCATGATTGATAATTTTATTTATTTACACACTTAAAAAAAAATTTCGATGTGTTTGTACCAATTTTTTTGGGTTGGTGTTTTATTAGGTTGATGTTACAGTACATTTGAGTACTTAGGTTGGACTGGTACAAAGGGAGAGAGATAGGATAGGTTTACAATCTCTCTCTATATGGACTTAAGAATGGCATGGTAGTTAGTTAGTTGTTTGAGTGGAGTTATTTGTTTGCGATGAGGAATTGATGCATTACATTTTGCCAATAAAATTTCATCGTTTAAATGATCCTTTGTATTATCGGAGGCAATGAAACTTTGTTCATTTCTTTTATATTTGTCTATGTATCCATCTCTGTATCTCTTTTATCTATCTATCTCTCTATTTCTATGTATTATTTAAGTTGTCTTACAAAGAGTTCTCTCTATTTTTATGTATTATCCATCTCCATATTATTTTTTTTTTTTTTATAGATAGTTTCTTTGATATATGCACATCTGAACCACGAAGAGGAAAGCGAATGTTTAAGTTGAGAATATTATGACTGAGAAGATGGTAGCCGCTTCATCTTCGCAATGTGGCACTTCGGGTGGTACTGCGACAACGAAACAAAGGGTATTTAATTTGAACACATATATTTGATGGACCATCTCTGCATTATTACATAACTTATATGTTTTGATAGTTTTTCTTTTATGCATTACATCTATATTTAGATACTAATGGGCACACGGTGTTCGCCAGCAAGCATATTAAAAGTTGTTAATTGGTCAACTGACGCTCAGAAACATGTAGTTAAGGCAATGGATTTAGACGGATTGACCACCATGATATACATGACGATGAGGAGGAGCTTATGGGAGTGGTTGGTCAAATAATTTGATCCCTCTACGTCTGTGTTACATGTCCATGGTAAATCAATTAAGTTCTCATCTGAGGATGTGTATTACATAATGGGGTTGGCAAACACAGGCATTGAGTTGGAAACTGCAGGATCATAGGACCAAATAGATGAACTTCAAAAATTAATTTTTAATGGACAGAGAGAGCTGTCGTTGAATACCTTGGTTGGTAAACTTAAAGAATTGAAGCATGATTCAATTAAGTTTAGGCGACTATTTGCTCTATTCATAATGACAATTAATAGTTCATACGCCAAGGCCATTGTGGATGTAAATGCATTATCTTCTATAAACTGGAGCAAATTTTTTTATGATGGTATTATTGATGGCATACGAAATTTCAAGGCAAAATCAAGACGTAATATTTGTGGTTGTATCATTGTGCTACAGGTATTGCGTTATTTTGCTAATTACTTGTACTGCTTTCTTTTTCATGGCACTTGTACTTCTTTCTTTTCATGTTATTCTTCTGCAAATTTTCTATTTTGAGCGCATCACACCAGTGGGAGAATCATACATTCCTTTTCTGTCACGGCCATTCCCTCGGATGGCATTTTGGGGGGAGAAAGAAATAGGCCAGTGCATGAATGGATTGAAAAAAATGGGTGGCTACAAAAAAAAAGTAACTTTTGAATGATATTATACTCTTCCATTGTAGTTTTATTATCTTATCTTTATTCATAATGAAAGATTTTGTTTATATATCATATGGTATTAACACAAATTTGGATTATCGTAGCTAATGGTTACAATTGAGAAGTCACTGACTGTTCCTGAACACTATGATGGATGCAATGAGAGGACAACATTTGAACATTCAGTAAGTGTTCCTGTCACTGATGTGAGGTGTAAAGTGAGGACAACAGGCGTGTCTGACGCTCAAAACTGTTATGTAGGATTTGACAAGAGATTGTCTAAGGTGGAGGTTGCATTGTCTGAATTTCGTGCGGACCATGATGCATTGTCAGCCAAGTATACAGTTGAAGTAAATGAAATTAAACAGATACTGCAAACGCTATCTGAAAAGGTGTGTAATTTTAGGAGAGAACAGCCTACAAAGGATTCTGTCCACGTGAGTACACTATATTACCTTTACAATCCTTGACAATAGTACTTGTATGTGCTATTTTGTTTATTTTTTGTGGTGAAACATGTGAACCAGGGAAGGTTTGATGACAGTGAAAGGTCCATGATGACACCAACAATCAGGTTATATTCCAGTCCAAATTGAAACCAATAATTTTTTTTGTGGACATGGACCTAAATTGGCAGACACTCCACTTTCAGGTTGTTGATGCGTTGATTCCCCATATTACTGATGTTAGTGATGAGGTACGCAATGCAATATTGAACTACATTTTTCATGAGGCACTTGATGCAACGTATGTAAAATTTACTACCCTTACAAGTTGTTTAGTATGTGCATTCTTATGCAAAGTCTACCTTACATGTTGTTATTTGACAGTGAGACGATTGTTCAATTTGATTCATTTCATGCGACAAGATTGACAATGCAGTCATTGGCACCCACACAGTTTTTGCCGAGCGAGATGAGGCATATGATTTTCCCATTTTGTGTATACCCACTTAAGGAGTACATGGGGGTGGATTAAATGTATGCAATTCTAAATATGTGTAATTTTGTACATAGTTAATCAATGTCACTGCATGCATTATGCCATGCACAAATATGGGGAACAACCACAGTCATACGGCCAAGTGGTATATGTCGACGTGGTTTGCGGTAATAGTACAACGATCATTTTTTTAGTGTTAAGTGATTTTATTCAGTCAGTGTGGGCATATTGTGTTTTAATGTTCAATATGAAGGTACGTATTTATAATTTAACAAATACTTACATTTTAGCAAACAGTCATTCACTATACATCTGAGGGGATCCCTGGTGTGATCATGCAACGAAAACTCATGAGAATTTGTTCCCAATACATCGATGACATTGACATGTGCACGAAGGTTTGACTGTATAAAAACTCACAACATATTCTAGATTACAAAAAATCATAATCTACAATCGGTATGTCACCATACTGTAATGACTGCAATTGGCTTATGTAGATCAATGTCCCCATTAACGACTACCAACAACATTGGTTCTTATGCGTTGTGGACATACAACAGGAAGAAGTCCTCCTACTGGATACTCTTCCACGTCCAACAATGAAGCATGCACGATGTAAGCAAGTGGATGATGTGGTATGTATGATCTAATTTTCTATGCAAAAAAATGATCCATGCAAGGCATTCGATGGTGGATTTTGCAAGTGCAACTTATTACATTGTATGCCTGAGTAGGTTGCGGTAGTGGGTGACCTTATTTGCCTGTTTAACAAAAAATTTGAAAAAGAAATCAGTACATGGCCCGTGATTGAACCAAGTTGGACACCCAAACAGGTGAATGGATATGATTGTGGAATTCACGTTGTCGATATGAGCCATCAACCTCGTCTGGGCCAACCTCTAATTCAGGTGTAGTATAACAATTTTTTATAAATTTCTTCATTACTTCTAATTTTTTTCACATGTTATAACACGTAAAATGGTATGCAAGCATCGTCGTCAAATGTTAGAAAGGATCTAGCAATAAAGCTGGTTACCCATCCACACAATAAAAAGTGAGAAGAAATCATTGGCAAGTCATTGAACCTCCTGGATATAAACTTACCATGAAGGTGGATGCATCTCACTACTTTTTGAGACAATGTGTATACCGACTCCAAGATGACATGAACACCTGCTATTGAACACCAATTATGAGAAACCAACTAAGGCAACTGCAAGACATTAATATAAGTTGTCCATTTGACCTTATCTATCTTAATGCTCTTGTTCCATTTGACCATATCTATCTTAAATCTCTTGTTTATACTCTGTGTTATGTGTAAAAATGTTATGGAGCGAAGTCCATGTGTTGAGTGGAATATGGAAGCAAAATGTTCTGCGTGTCAGGAATGAAAAAAATATCTGTACATAGTAATATGTTTTTTTTTGGGATAACAGTGGATGATCATTTTTTTATTGGTAAATTAAGTTATTATATTGGTATTGGTTGGTTAATGTGCATATTAGTTGTTACTGGTTCTATCTGCTATGCCAAACTGCTTTTGCAATGGTCTGTTTTTGTATACTATGATTTGGAGGGTGGTGCCAGGTGCTGTGGTTTTTTTTTTTTGGAGTCTGGGCAGGCAGTCTAGAGCTGTTTGTCTTGGCTTATTCTTCTCTGCACTGGATTGCTTTGGGCTGCTTTGTGATGGAGGGTCTGTCTGCCTTGATCTAGGGTGTTGTGGATTGTTGTATTATCAGCTTCTAATATCCTGGATTGTTTGAGGGTTAGAATGCTGGGCTGCAATGCACTGTTGGTCTTCTTTGCTTTGCGGCTGACTGGAGCATGGCGTGGGGTATGCAGGCAGTAGTTTTCAAATTTGCGATATTTGTTGATTGTAATTATACATGGTTTAATCCATCTTGAATGATTGCACCCATAAGTCATTTCCTCAAGACGAATATTTGACGAAGATTAATTTTTATCTTTTTCAATTCTTTATTCAAGTATAGATTTGGTATGGTTAGGAGGTCCTTATTCATGTATGTGAATAGGCAAGTAAAGGAAGTTAGAAAGGGCCAATTCCTCGATTGATAAATTAGGGGAAGGCCATAGTATCGCCCTCATTATTTTCGTTATGGTACCTAATATAATGTGTGGTCCTCAATTTTTTTGTCATTCAATATTATCAAGTTACTCATTAAAGGTGTCTTAACTTTGCGAACAAAAGTTATACCATTTTTTCTAAAGATTGTGACCTCATCCGCGGTTTTTGTGTGGTACTTTTACCTTTACTAATTGTACGTAACATTAAACAGCTATAACTTTATTTGCAAATGTAGTAATTTAAACCAAATAAATAGTTATAGTGTTACTTTCAATTATTGTAATTTTATTTTGAATTGTTGTAACCATTCCTAACGAGTTTGTATCTCATCTTTAAAGGTGATAACTTTAACTCGAGAATAACAACTTTGTCTTTCCAAGTAGTGACATTACATTTACTAGTCATGATCAATCATGATTAAATCGGATCGATCTCAAGTTTTATTTTTTTCGCTTCCAATCACACTCAATTACGATTCATCATTACTATCTGAGATCCATCTTAATGCATTTGATGGTCCAAAAATTGGGACCAAAGTAAATATTTGGTGGTTCCAATTAAATAGGATCGATCACAATTAGCTGAAATTTGAAAAAAAAATTCTCAATTGGTCCCGATCCTATATTTAGTTTCATTAAATTGACATATAATTTCATAAGGGTATGTAACAATTTATGAAATAATTTGTCAAATCTCAAGGGAGATGTTTGGAGACTAACCAGCATAAATAAGAGATAGGGAGCTGTTGGACAATTCACCAGCCCAAAAAGTGGAGGGAAATGTTCCCGCCAACATACTGAATACTCTTATATATGTGAATACACAGGGAGAGAGTAAGACTCAGCACTTCGGGTCAAAAAAACTCACTATACACCCCTCTGGAATAAGGTTATAGGAGTATGAAATTTCAAGAATGAAACTATAGGAGAATGGGAGTACTGAAGACCTCATGGATAGATTCAAACCCAGGTAAGAGGTTTATTGGCTGTGAGAGATATGGGGTAAGATACTAATATTCTAAAAACAATAAATATTCCTTAATTTTTTTTTTTAGATTTTATGCAAATACATCATAATGTTAACCAACACAACGACATGCAGGAGGCAGGTGGGTGCAATTATTTCCAATGGTATGATCATCCAATGTGTGACCGATCAAAACATGTAATTCCCGGACTCTTGTGATCACTGAACAAGCATCAAACAGAAGAAGAAAGAGCCACAAAACTAGCCAGAAAATTGAAGTTTGCACTTTTTTTTTCATGGATATTTTTCATTGCATACTGTCTTGCAAATGTTGCATAGCAGTGGGTGAAGGTGGTGTAATAGATAATGTGGGGGTGTTGTGAATACCTAAAAGTCATGTTCCTTTGTTGGGTTTTGATGTGTCTTGGCAACAACTAGAATGGAAATGCACTTTTTTGTTCATGTACTTCATATGTGTAACCCTATAAGAACCTTAGAGTAAACATGTGAGTGTAATATAGCAAAATCCATATTCATATTGCATATATATTGGTGTATGTACATATATATGTATAGACTGCAGGTTATATATATATATATATATATATATGATATGCTGAAATTACAAAATCCAAATAACAAAATAACAGGCAATTGCTTAATCTAAAGGAGTAAATCAAGCATATGACATCATTTTTCCAGTATGAGCCAATCGCATACATGCCTTGTAAACAACTTGGTTTCTCAATCGGTTTTCCGTGTGCGTGACCAGTTGAACAGCTAGATTCCTACGCATATCATTCGAATCATCCTGACACAAAAAATATTGTTAGTGTATGATATAAGAAAATTGGTGGACTTAGTGCAACGTTTATGTGCAGCTGTTGTATTACCTTTACAATAGAGCCAGGACCTAACAAAGGTTCCTCCATTAATTTAATAACAAACATACTGCAGTCGTGTCCATTCTCTTGTCTTGGAGTCCATCCAGCTTCTATCAATGGGAATGTGTGGAGAATTGGCTTGTACAAAGAATCACTACACTGAAGTACAGAATCCAGATACACAACCACCTTCTTCACGTCGATTAGTCGACGGTCGTTGTAGGTTAATGGCATAGAGTCAAGCAATACAACTTCACGCTCAACTACATCGATCATGCATAAGTATCAATGTAGATTGTTGTCATTCATGGGAATAAAAATCTGCATTAAAAATTCAATGACTCAATGACAGTTAATGAAAACGGTAGATGAAATTCAAGGCAAATATATATATATATATATATATAAATGAAAGTTGGGATATATGACGAACCTTGTCACAATCTTCAAATTTTTGTATGTAATCAAACAGGTTAAGAAATGAATCATTTGTGCATTGTACTCCTGCATTGGACGATACTCTTCCAATTGCTTGTTGCTGAATATATTCACAAATATTAGTCCTAACGTGGTTGATAAATTATGGTTGTTGCATTTCAAATCATGATAATGCCATTGACAAGGTTTGGATGCATTACCGAAAAGTATGTGGGCAGAAAGCATATAGTCTTCAGGTTTAACGGATTCGTCTTCCTCCCTTGAATAGTAATGTATGCACCAAGATTTATTATCTTTTCAACCAATAAATCAAAAAACCCACATCAATACGGAGTTTTTTACCATATTTATTAATCTAAAAACATGAATATTCGATGTAACTCACCTCAGCACAAATCCATTGCAAAGGGGGCATAAACTCATCATTGACTTTCTGGTTGCAAACTCGTGACTGAATTGCACCAAGACCTCACTGACCGACAACACAATAATATTATTGTATTATGTATGACAAAAAAATTTCAAACGTGGCTGCATTACACTATTATACCTCATATCTAGAGAAGCATCAAAAATGTATGTCAGTATTGTTTTTTTACCAACGGTATTGATTTCTTCAATTTCTGGATATTCCACAATTACTGGTGTGAGACAGG